TATGAATGGAAGCGGATCATTTAATATTACAAACCATGAAAGAATGCCAGGGCAAGCTGATATTAGATTTGGCACTGTGCTAAAATAGGAAGAACAGAAATCTTGTTTTGTTAATGACTTTTAAATGCTTTTTTCATTAAGTTCAATGTAACCAACGGACACTTGGAGACATTGCATCCATTCCAGACCCAGTTTTCCAAGTTTTATCGTTGATTAGTTGACTTTTAATTACAAAAGATATAGAGTTTTTACACATGCTTGTTCTGAATTTACTGAAATATGTTAGTGGTTAATCTGTTAATATTATTATGAAATAGGTTAAAATATTAAGTCATCTTTGTCCGCATTACACATGCTTACTTCAACTAATTTACCTTTTCATTATGCAAACATGCAGCACTGCTAATGTTTGGTAAGTCTTTGGCATTTCTATATTTATGTTAATTTTTGAAAATGATCTATAATTTTGTTCTCATGATCATCTTTGTCCCATTTTTGGCTCAAGTTCACGGACATTTCTTAAAATCAATTGGGAAGTTTTCCTTACTGCCTTGAACTCTTTTGTATGAAGATTATGTACTCCATTTAAGTTTGAGAAAATGTTTATGAAAACCTCAAGATCTGATTAAATCAAGGATGGATTTTTAAACATTTATTTCTTTAATAATCACTAAGTTTTGGAAATTTTCTAATTTACTGACATCTTGCCTTTCTTTATATAGTTTTATTATATTTTAGATCTCTGGGAGCACATTACTGGTACATTTTATTCCTAAATTTCAGCTGTGTCTTTTCTAGCTTATTCTCTGGATCTGTCAGATGAGAAATGTACGTGCTATATTAATCATTTCAATGAACTGTGTTAGGATTTCACTAATCCTCTCTATGGTTTTCTTGATTTTTATTTACTTCAGATTTTAAACTTGTTACTCACTTCTAGTTGCTTTGGACTTCTATACTGGTCTTTTTGCTAATGTTTCTGAATAATGTCTTAAATGATTTTCCCCCTCTGCTTCAACTTATACATTAGAATCAACTTTCAATTATATATATTTAAAAAGCTGTTGCATCTTTGAGAGTGGTGGCCTGAATTCCTGCATTAATTTAGGGAGACTTAACATTCTTATGTTGTCAAGACTGCATTTATGAGGCCTTGATTTCAGTGATGCTGAGCCAAGTTTGTATTAAATAATATGCTAGCTTTTGGACTAAGATTTATCATATAACAGAATACCTAGTCACTGCTCTTTTAACTTTATAAAAATCCTAAGACAAAAGACTTTTTCAAAATATTTTTGAAATATATAGCATCAACTATAATGGCTTTGCTGCCTTGATTAATTAGTAACTAAGTTGCTGACCAGGGCAGATCCAAGAGGGCTGGACACAGGTTCCCTGCATGGGACACAGCCACAGAGAAAAAGTGGAGTACAAAGCAGGACCTTACCCTGAGCACAATAATTAAAGTCAGCAAGGAATGGATGGGAATTTTAAACAGCACCCAGGGGCAGAAAAGCAACACAGAGAAAAGAACAAAGCAAAGGGCAGCTTCAACCCTGGGCATGAGGAGTGTGGGTGCGGAGGGGACTGACTCACACTCCCAAGAAAGGGTGGATGGGAAATAACCAGCCACTCCACCTTAGCAGCATCCTAAATGCGCAGCAGCCTACCGCAGGCTTCCTCCCAGCCTGGGGAGCTGACAAGAGCAAGTGCTCTATTTCAAAGAAGCAGGCTTTTCCCAGGAGCCACCACCAGTCACCCACCTGGTGGCTGCCCTCACCACCACCACTAGTCTGTATCCTGCCTGGGGCCACCAGCTGGGGAACCATTGCACCAAAAGGACACCTGCACTGCATGTTCATGGCAGGACTATTGGCTATAGCTGAAATACTAAATTGATCTAGCTACCCTTGATGGATGAACACACACACACACACGAATGTTATCTAGCTATAAAAAAATATTGAAGTCCACCACCCTGACACCATGAGAAGCCTTGTACCTGTGTGTACCTCACACAATAGAGGGCAGCACCCTTAGTGTCCGGAAGCTCCAGGACCCGTCTGCCTGAGCCACCAACCCTGAGTCCCACCCAAGCTTGCCCTGTGGGGAAGGTCTTGATCCCTGACCCTGTGCCTGTCTGCAGGTTCTGGGAAGACTCACGTCCTACAGCTTGAGGTGCACAGCTAGAACTACAGCTATCATATGACCCAGGATCTCAGTATGGGGTCTGTTCTGGAGGGGGAACCATCACACCAAAAGGACACCTGCACTGCATGTTCATGGCAGGACTATTGGCTATAGCTGAAATACTAAATTGATCTAGCTACCCTTGATGGATGAAAACACACACACACACACACACACACACACACACAGGAATGTTATCTAGCTATAAAAAAATATTGAAGTCCATCCACTTGCAATGACATGGATAGAAGTTAAAATTATTGTGTTAAGTAAAATTATGTCAGAAAGACAAATACTACATGTTCTCATTCATTTAACAAGAAAAGCCCATCTCCTGGAACAGAACGGTCTTCACTAAAGCCTTGGGAGGGCAATGTGGGGGGAAGCAATTAAATAAGGGGTACTACCATGGTTGGTGTCTACATGTCCCCCCAAAGCTTTATGTAATCCCACAGCTACATGCTGCCCCCGGACTGGGCCGCCTGCATGCAATATGAGGGTGGGAAAGACCCTTGCTCTCGGCTGCTCCTCCCTTTCTGCACTTGCTGTTTTGCTGTGTCTATGCACCCACACACACACCATGAACCGCTGCCCTCTGCCGTGTGCCACGCTGCCTTGGAGCCAGCCGAGCCTGCACTGAGACCTCCACAACCTGTGAACTAAAGACACCTTTCCTTCCTTAATTCTGGGAGTCAGGTATTTGCCTCAGCAATGAGAAAAATAGCCAAGATAGGGACCAAACACAGAGAACAGAGATTAGTTCTTTTTTTCTGTTGCTCAGAAAATGTTAAAACATTCTATGATATGTTTTGAATGATTAGAAAAAAGAAATTCCAAGCAAATGAAAATGCTTAACATTTGAAACAATGGAAATGCTTATTAGCCAGATTTTATCTTTATTTTATATTATATATATATATAATTGAATTCCATTATGTACCCCATAAATATGTACCCATATTATATCTGCATACAATATTTTTTATTTTAAAAGGTAATATTACATTAGATTACTACCATCAACCCATCCTTTTATTCCTTTAGTAAACTGTTAAATGCTACTCACCAGTGTCTTAGGTTTTGACTTAAGTGAAATTGTTCTGTGCTTCACTGTGTAATTTTTGTTGGACTTGGGTGTGCAAACACTAGGTTCATTAAAAAAAATTAGGAAATGCTTGTTCATGAATGTGCTGGAATAGTTTTACCAGCACTAAAATTATCCTTCTTCCAAGGCCTAGAGAGTTCTGTGACCAGCCATACACAATGGCTTCTTTGACAACTTGTTACACTTCCTTTATGAATAATCTGGTTTCCCACCCATTTTGTTACACTGTGTTTTCCTGGAAAATGGTGTCTTTTCCACAAGTTCTTATCAAAACTTGGATGATGTGCAAGTTAGAATGTTAACAAGCTCTGTTTTCTCTTGACCTCCCTATCCTCCCTCTCCGAGCCTTCTCTTTCCCACGTTGGCAACGCCGCGCAGCTACTGACCAAGCACAGAAAACTCGGTGTGATGTTTATTTCTCCTCCTTTACCTATTGCTGTCATGATCAGGAATCCATTAATCAGAGCTTCAGGATTTAGTATTGGAATCTCTCCATTCCCACCGCACCCTTGTCTCCAGCTTATCACGGCCACCTTGGTCCTCAAAAGAACTATGTTGGACTTCTGCTCCTCACTCTGCCAAACAATGTTCCACAGAGCAGCCACAATGAGTGTCTTAAAGATCAGTTGCATGACCTTCACCCCAGTGCCTCTGCACAGAATCCAGGCACATTCTCCGTGACCCTCAGCAGTGTAAAATTCAAAACTGCTGCCCACAGCCAACGAGGCCACACTGAGCCTACCACACTGCTAACCTCATCAGTTGCCTGTCCCCTTTGCATTCACTGTTGCTCAAGTAGATCATGCTCTTATCTGTCTCCCTTTCTTTGCAATTTTCACTTTTAAAGTCCAATTCTTTCTTATCCTCAAAAGCTCATTTTTAATATCACTTCCTTAGAGACCTTTGGTGGTCACCTTACCTTAAGTTGATACTGCCTGCCGTTGCTCCCAACCAATGGAGAGAACTAGAATTCCCCAAAGAATTCAGTAAACTTGTGGTTATTTTGCTTACTTTTCTCTGACTTCTCAAGGAATTTTTTCTTTTTTAAATGAATTTAGGACCGGGTGTACAGGGTCTCACTACGTAGATCGGATTCATAGTGATTCTCCTGTTTTCAGCCTCCCACACACTAGGATTACAGGCATGTGCCACTATGCCCAGTCTCAATCACAGTCTCGGGGCACCCTAGGGGAGGGGCCTGCATAGCACGCTGGGAATCGAACCCTGGCCTCTGCACTCCGCCTAAGCAGGCACTTTAGTCCACTGAGCTATCTGGCTGACCCTCTCAAGGAATTTTTTATGGTGTTTTTGTTTTTGTTGTTGTTTTGGTTTAGGCTTTTTTGGCAGAATCAGGGATTGAACTCAGGCCCTTGCGCTTGCCAGGCAAGCACTTATTCTACTGAGCCATCTCCCTGGCCCCGGAATGTTTTTAAGTGGTAACAGAAACACATCTGTGTGTTAACCACCGAATCTCCATGTTTAGTACAGGGTTTGGTGGTGCGCAGCACTTAATTATGAAGAATGAACGCACAAATGAAAGAAGGAAGGATGGACAGACTCACTCAAGCTAAAAGGGATACCTGCTGGGGAGGGAGGAAGTTCAGCGACAGAAATGTAGTATGGACGGAGTGTTTGAGTACTTTTGGTGCCTTATTCCTCCCATCAAAATTCACATTCACTGAACAACGTAAATGTTGGTACCTACCTGCAGGATGCAGCAGCAAAACCAAACTTTGACTCTCCTTAGGAAGGCTGAATTGGGTTAAGCCTGGAAGAAATTGATTCATCTCTTTTAATTATATTCCTATTAGGCTTTTAAAAACAAAGCCGTGCTTCTATGCACATAGCTGTAACACAGTTTCTCAGCAGGTCTTCACCTGATAATGAATGAGGAAGGACCCTGCCAGCTTGCGTTATCACCATGAGATCAATATCTGAGTCTCAGACATTGTCTCGGTTAGTGCGACCAGCTCGCAAAATTCGCGAGTATTTTATGACTATCATTTAAAGCACTGAGCCCCCAATCCTTTGCAGCTCTAAGCTAGAGGCTGATTTAGTCAGAGGGCATGATTTTATTTTCCTAAAAAAAAAAAGTAAATCCATCTCTAAGATGAAAGTATGACAGAGGACAGATGCTAGCAATGGGTGTGAGCTTTTCTAAGTTTTTTTCTAAGGTGGTGTTGTTGTTGTTACAGGGTCTTACTATGCAGCTTCAACTCATAGTGATCCTCCTGTCTCAGCCTCTCCAGTGCTGGGATTACAGGCATGTGCCACCACGCCTGGTTTTGATGGCTGACACAGCATGCAGAACCAGGGATTGAACTCGGGTCCTTGTACTCATCAGGCAGGCACTTAGACCACTGGGCTATCTCCCCAGCCCCAACAGGTATGTGATCCTGACTGAGTAAATTAACCTTTCTACACATCTCACAGCGCCATGTCAGACTGAGCTCCCAGCCCAGAGCCTGGTGCCCAGTAAGCACTTACTGTAAACTTAAAGAGCTATAATTACCCCTTGTCTGCAAGCCAAAGAGCTATTTTCTTAGGTCTTTGGAAGAGAAGAGAATAAAAGCAAAATTACAGAAAAGTAGACTTGGAAGAGGGAGTATGGAGATATTTTGATTTTGCTCCAAGCACTATTACTAAAGGGAGATAAATGTAAATAGTAATTAATATCTAACAACATTAATTGAAGACAGTTGCCTGACATTTGGGATCTGGTGAAGATAAATGTAGACTAGGGGATAGTATCTTCTCTAATGCAGTACTGCTTTATTACAGCAGTCTCAAAGTACTGTCTAGGAACTCCCTAAGTAACCAAAAGTTCTGTGAGGTCAAAACTATTTTGATGATAATGGGAATGATATTCACTTTCTTCGTTCTTACTCATTCACAAATACAAAGTGAAATTTCCCAGAGGCAACGTCACCCACAATTAATTACATTCAAAAGCAGATATGAGAATCCAGCTGTCTTCTATTAATCCAGATACTAAAAATTTGCAAACAAAACAATGCTACTCTTTCACTTAGTCTGTTTTTTAAGTCTAGTTATGTTTATAAAAATTCATTTCAATATGTAAGATCATATATTAATATGGAAAATAGTCACAGATATAACCCATACAAGCAAAGGCTCTTGGGAACACTCAGTGAATAAGTATGTAAAGAAGGCCTGATTCCAAGTAGTATAAGGATAGCGCACAACCAACCAGCGCCATTGCAAAGACATCTTAAAATGATTTTCACCTTTGACCATGTATAGTGCTATGAAGGAGGAGATGTGTGTTAAAGGACTTAAATAGTGGTCTTTACAGTCATTGTTGTCACTGCGTTTGTTGGGATAAACAGTAGGATGGACAACAATGTTGGCTTTTGTTTTATTGTTTTGAGACAGAGTCGTGCTATAGGGCCAAGCTGGTGCTGAACTCATGATCTACCAGCATCCACTTCCCAAATGCTATGATTACAGGTGTGCACCACTGCACCTGACTTGGGTAACAAATTCTGAAAGTTTTTTGCATTGAAAAATATAGCATCCACAGAATATTATCTGTCCTTCTGCAAGAGCCCTGGGTGGAAAAGCAAGGACAGAAGCCCCAAGGGATGCAGTGGCAGCGCCTTGTCACCCCACTGCTGTGCCACTGCTGCCACCCCTATGCCCACCTCTGCCTGAGCTTGAGAGCTCTGAGGACCCTGCCAGCCCCTCTGAGCCCCAGGACACTTGAGTGGTGGGATATGCAAGGATGAGAAGATGCCCCAAGGAGGCTGGCTGGAGAGTGACGGCCGTCCCTAAGAGCCAGCTAAGACTCAGCCTGTAGTCACCAGCGCCACCCTGGCCCTGGCCCCAGCCCCAGCCCTGGCTGCAGAAAAGTACAAACACTAAGGAGAAGGAGAATGCAAAGACATTGTTTCATCCTCCATTCCAAGGCCAAAGAGAGAGGAGGCTGTGGACAGCCGGATGTCCATGACCCAGAGAGTTAGCTGACTTCACTGCAAAGCAAGCCAACAAAAATAAAGGCAGCTGTTGTCTCCTCTTCTTATGGGTAGGGCTCTGACAAAGATTCCCAGTTGACTGAAATAAAAAATATCATTTTCTTTCACTTAAAAAAAAAGAAAGAATATTATCTGTCCTTGAACTATCTGTCTTGGATTTCCATGAAAGAAATCCAATTGCTTCTCAAATGATATGTACAAGTGTAGCCACTACATGCCTGCACAGTGATTCCTTCTGAACACTAGAATTTCTCCCAAGACAAAAGTAGTGGCCAGGGAGATGGCTCAGTGGAATAAGTGCTTTCCTGGCAAGCGCAAGGGCCTGAGTTCAATCCCTGGTTCTGCCAAAAAAAAAAGATGATCAAAAGTAGAGGAGCAAAGGATGCAGTTCTTTCATTATAAGAACTCCTCCCTCCCTCTCTGCTCTCCAAAAGATGAAACGACACGCAAATGTGGAGCAGCAGCAGTTCAAGATGTGCTAATTACCCTCAGAACAGCACGTATCAGGGTGAACACAGTTTTCTGTTTAAAAAAAAAAAAACATTTAACAGGTATACAATCATATTATATAAAAATATAAGGAAGTCTATCAATGAAGTAAAATACATGTTTAGTACATCAATTACTTAGGTAAAAAACTACTTTTCTGAAAATATCATTTAATTTTTAAAATGCTGATTAAAATAAAACTATTTGGGTCCAAAACATAGAAACTCAGATAATTCTATTATGCTTTTCAAAATGTGCTCTTCTTCTCTGCTGCCATTGGCCACACCCTGTCCTCAGGGAGGTGTCATGGAAGTGGCCAGTCCAAAAAGGTGTGGCTTTCATGGCTTTCATGTGCTTTCATGCCACTTTCGTGATTCTTATGAACACCAACTGCACATACTCTAGCAAACAGGACTTCACACATCAACCAAGATTTTAAAAATACCTCTAAAAAATATACCTCAGCACGTGCAGATCACAGAATGATTTCAGATCATCAGACTGTTTTTCCCAAAATTCCTAAAATTAAACAAAAGTTCCACTTTAGTTAACACTTATTCTGCCCTTAAAAAGGTCCTTTTATATCACAGGAAGCAGGAACTTACCAGAACATCCTTCTCAAGGTATTTTAGAGCCTGAATATCTTTCTGAAGGTTGTTCAACTTCTGCAGAACCAACTCACGGAAGTCCTCCAATTTGTTCATTCTGGTAAAGGTGAAAAGCAACCAATCTCACTGGGATTATTTGGGAATGGTGAAAGACACTCCTAACTAATCCTGCTGTTTCAAGAGTGCCATGCTGTTCCCCAGATGCTTGCCTTATGAACACACAGGTGTCGCTCTGCTCATCCCTTCCTCCCTGGCCACCGCACCCAACTCTGGAAACCCAATGATGCTGCCTGCAATAGCAGCCCACAATTCTAGGTAGAGAATAAGGCAGATGGTGCCAGAGAAGAAGAGCTGAAGGGCTGGCCCTCCATTCCCTTCTCTCCTTTCTCTGTCCAGCCAAAAGCTGGCCCTGAAAGCCATGGTCAAGAATGGGTTGTGCATTGGTTTTCCACTTCCATGTTTCAGTTCCAAAATTATGACAATTCTATAAGTTGCAGTATGCTTGTATAAGGTCTTTCAGGACTGGGCCAAGCATTCAATGAAGACAAGAGCTACCACACCTTGACAACTGCAGTTCGGATGTCTAGCTCCCTCAATGGCCTGTGTATTCAAAGCCTCACTACCAGGGGGTCGTAAGACATTAGGGACCTCTAGGGGAGTAGGTTAAGTCTTTGGGGGTGTGGCCTCAAGGCAAACAATGAGATGTGAAGTCTTTGTTTTGTACTTGCTGGCTTTGAAGTGAGTGGTTTTGCTCCATCATGCATGCATGCCATGCCAGGCCAGGCCATGCCAGGCCATGCCACCAGGCCATGACCCAAAGCAATAGGATCAATGGACCTGGACTAAAACCTTCAAATCTGAATGCCAAAATAAACATTTTCTCTTCATAAAGTGATTACCTCAACTATTTGTAGTGATGATAGGAAACTCATCTACCCATTACACGGAGCACAGAGCCTGACACCTAGTGTGCATTTGCTGAATGAAGACATGCGTGGATGGAAATCCCTGTGACCTATAGCAATTTCACAAATTCAAAGTCCTTTGTAGCTTGTTGGGACAATCAAGGTATTCTACATGTTTATAAGAGTTTGAAAATTACGTTCAACCCTAACAAGATGTTTCAACTAAGCAAACTCACTCACTGCCCCTTTCTTCCCTCTTTAATTCTCTCCAATAAGAAATAATCCCTATACTCACTTTCCTTGTACCACTCAAATCTTAATCTCCAAAACATCTTTCAAGAAGGACTTCCATTGTAATTTTTCTAGATTCACTATACTCCTTACATAAATGCACCCTTCTACTCCCCTCATCTCTCTGAAAAGTGACCACTGTGGTATTTGATACATGGTCCTAAGGAGGGGAAATGTACATGCGTTTTCTTACCGAGTTATAATTAAGCATATAGCTTACCACTTTAACCAGTTTAGGGACAATTCATCAGCAGTGAGTATAGTCACAATGTGCCAAATCCATCCATTCTACTTCTGTATTTATCTACATACGCCCTGTCTTCACATGTGGATTATAAACTTCTAAGGAATATGTTGGATAACACAGTGGTAGACAATGAAGATGGTTAAGAAATACATTTACTCCAACCCTTCATCTTATGAATAAAGAACTGGAAGCACCAAAGGGCAGAAGGATGTATCAAACCTCACATCTTCTCAGACTTCACCTCCTCAGGCCCCAGCAGAGTGGTCATGTAAGAAATGTTGTTTGTGAATGATTGCACTTCCATGAATGTGCATTCAAATTCAATAATTACCTTTGCAGGTGTATCTGGTTTAAAAGTTTTAGTAGGCAGTCTGGTGCTTTCTTTGTTTTGCTTGAATAAATTGGACTCTTTCTGAACCTCAGCTAAAGTATAAAAACAAAATAACATTTGCTTTAGCCATATCTACATAATTTAGTATATGATTTATATTGAAAAGCTGCTGCTGGTATTGTATGTAACATTCATTGCAAGCATTACTGGCAAAAATCTATGATGAAGTACATTACTTTACTGAAGTAGCAGGTATTACTTCAATAAAGAACAGCAAGTGAAAACAGAAAAGCATGTTTCCATGCTATCGATACACATAGCGACCCTGTGGGCACAGTCCCATTATAAATTGACCCACACGAGTATTGCAGAAAACAAAGACTCTAGAAGTCTTGCATGTGAGTTAAATGAAGGTTGGCTTGGTCACACTAAGATGCTAGTAAACAAGTCATTATGGCTTTAAAATAAGATGAAATCAGAGGGTCCTGGATGGTTCCAAATCCCACTTTAGCCAAAGGCTCTGAGTCCAATTCCCAGTACCAAAAAAAATAATACTGCAGTGTCTCAAAACTCTGCTTCCACTTGGAAAACTTGAAGGCCATGATAATGAACAGCAGAACCCATGCCTATCTCTACCACTGTCCCAGAGTTCTGATTCCTCCACATGGTTACCTCATCTATCACTGTGACAAACATTTTTCCCAGTAGTTCAGTTGTCTAGAAATGCTACCAATGACACCACGACATGAGTTGATTTCCACACATGTGGGCACACTGTGGCAAAAGGATATGAACATATCTATCTTATAAATGCAAACCACAATCACAAAGGCTATCATGACCACAGATATCTCAACAGATATCTCAACAGATATCTCCCCAGAGACTTAGGAGCACTTCGTGTATGGACAGTCACATCAGAAAACTGGATACATTTTCATTGTTTTTATAGCTGTGTTAAGATATCACCGATAAAATAAAACAACTTACATTCAAGGGGTATATGTGATGCTGTGTTACATGTACACATTGTAAAATGATTACCACAATCAAACCAATTAATTTATCAATCACCTCACACAGTTACCTTTGCATGCGTATCTTTTGTAAGCACACAAAAGAACTGTTCTTACTATAAATTCCAAGTATACATTGGCATAAGCTGTGTCCCCATGCAGTGTGTGGGTCTCTAGAACTTATTCATCTTGCAACTGAATGTTTGCATCCTTGACCAGCGCCCGCCCATTTGCTTCATCCCTCCAGCCCTGGTCACTACCCTTCTGCTCCCTGCTTTCTTAGATTCCATGTGTAAGCGAGTTCATGCAATTTGCATGTGAATTATTGCATGTCACATGCTGTCCTCCAGCGTCATAGCTGGGTTTTCATTTTCAGAGGGCGATTACCTCACATTTCCTTTTCAGTTCTCCAGTGAAGTCTTCCAAGGCTGTGACAATGGCAGAAACATCTAGGTTATCTGGTACAGTGTCTAGGTATGGAGGAGAAATGTCAAACAACAAAAATAAAATGTTAAAAACAACTTAAAATGCTCACAGTAGTTGTGCTCCATTCACCTGCTGCGCAGATGACGGTACACTTTGTCAGAAGCACACATATGAACTACAGATGCCCTGGTGGCTGCTTGGCTGCGACCCTGAGGCCCATCCGGCACGGGCCATGATTTCAACCGTGTTCATGCAAGCCCAGCTCACATGAGAGTCCAGGCAGGCACCTGATGATTCTCCTGCCAAACCTCACTCTCTGGCAATGGCTCATTTCATGCAAACCTTCCAAGCACTTCAAATCAGAGCCACTGACTTTGTCTCTCAGGTATCTGGAGAAGTACGCTATAAGACACAATGGTTGGGCCTGTCCATGGGGGTCAACCTGGCAGAACACCTTTTGGGGGCCAGTCTTAGGAGGGTTTGTAAGAGACCTGGCTCTGTTCTACAGGACTCGTGAGCAGTGAGTCGCACGTTCCTACAAAACCCACACGAAATTAACCCATGTGGGATCCACACTGAACAGAGATCGTGTATACCAGCAGCTCCAGGATTCAAACCGAGCTATCTCGAACCGCTGCCCTCTGGTGCCTCTGATGTGCAATTTTCTCTTTTTAGAGATCTTTGCTTTATAATAATACATGGTGCTATTCATGCAGAATCACACACAGGGACATTCTAGATTATTCTCTAACTGGAATACATTATATATTTCTACTACAAAAATTTCGTTACCTATCAGCCAAAGCAGAGACTTACATTAGGAACACTTAGAACCTTAAATCTTCCAGAAAAATAGACTTAAGAGGCAGAAACCCAAATGCTAAGAGAAAGCTAGGCATGGTAGCAGACACCTGTAATCCCAGCACTCAGGAGGATGAGGCAAGAGGATCACCAAGAGTTCGAGGGCAGCCTGGGCTACATAGTAAATTCAAAGTCAACCTCAATTGCATAGTGAGATCCTGTCTCAAAAAAAGACAGAAGAAACAGAACAAAGCGCTAGGAGAGGATGATGCTTATTTTCAACTGCAATTTGTGCAATAAAGCACTTGTCTCTAAGAACAAAATGCTTAGGTTTTAGGCTTCTGCAACTACCCTGGTCTTAAAACTCATCAGGTGCCTTCTGTGACAACATATTTGTTACATTTCTACTTCAGCTGCTGGCTGGGCACGCGATTTTACCTGCCAAGCCGGGGGATGCTGGCACATCACCATCTTCCAATCTTGATTGTTTGGGCCTGGCAGAGCTCCCTTCTGCTGCATCTAATAAGCAAACACAGCACGCGGGTGACCTTGCATGCCTTCCCTTTGTGGTAAATGCATTTCTCTTGTGTTTGCCAGTTCATATCTAAGCTTGACCCCCATGGGTGGAACTCGTCCCCTGCCTGTTACTCACTGTTTGTGTGCCACTGTGTCCAGCCTAAATGTCAAAGCACTAAGACTACTGATGCTTGAAGAGGGACATGCAGGGACAGGAGCCCCTTTGGTGAGCTCAAGTACATTTAGAAACGTTCTGTTTATCAAGTTACAGACAGATGTGCTAGCCAGCTAGAGTGTTCCTAATGAAACCGTAGGAGTGGGCCCCAAAAGCACTTCCAGGACCGCAGGCTAAATGAAGAAGCACCTAGGTTTCCAGTCCTACAGGGCTTTGGAAGCCTTCAGAGGATTCCCCGAAGGCGCCCCCTGCTGGTGACAGGGAGCAGACGCGCCGCCCTGAGGGTCCTGGGCTAACAAGGTCCCCTTGGTTCCTCACCAGCTACAGTGACTTTCATATCCTCTGCTGATGGGACTCAAACACAGAACCCTATTTCAACACAGAACATCACTAAATATTTCCTATTCCAAAGTTCACTTTTACCCCAAACGTGTCCTTTCTCCAACTGGGCCCTCCCACTCTTGTCAACAGCACACCTCGGTCAACAGAACATCAGCTCCATTCCTGTTTTTGCTGCCTATTTGCTTCCATTCCATCATCAGAGCCTGAGGTTCTGCATAGGGCCCAGACCTTTCCTTCCATCCACCTGCCAATCCATGCCCCGGCCCAAGGCCATCTGCCCAGAAGATCTCCACAATTCTGAGGCACCTCCAACCATCACCTGCCGAATTTCTCTCTTGCCTGAGCTCTCGCAAGCTGGCAATCTGGGCTCCCCACTGGCTGTCAATATCGCCATGTCATGCTATTCTGTCCCTCCCTCCCTCCCTACAGCACTCTTACCCACCCCTGAGCCCAGAAGTGTGAAGTTCTGACATCGCCGCCATTCTTCACTTACCCTTTCATCACTATTGGTTTCCTTCCATAAGCCTTGGACTCTAATTTCAAAAATTCATGTAGTAAATATATTGTGTGACTCTATCTCAGCTGTACAGTGTGACTGGCAGACAGCACAGCGCGCTGTGGCCCTTCACTCTGCATCTCTGCCCTGGTCTCCCCACGGATTCCAAGCACATTCATATCCCCAGATCTATGTATCTGAGGTTCCTTCTAATGGAACTCCATATATTCGCAGTCTTGTGTCTAGCTCCCTGATACCAATTTAAACACTGCCTATACTTTTTTTGGGGGAGCCCAGCCTGCCCTGAGGGTGGGGCTGGCATAGCATGTGGTGGTGGGCATAGACCCACCATGGTCCCCTGCGCCTGCCTAAGCTTGCCCAAGCAGGGACTTTAGCCCACTGAGCTATCTTGCCGGCCCTGCCTATACATTTTTAAACTGCTTTTCCTGATCAGATTTCTTTCTTGCTCTTCAATCACAATAGAACATACTATGTACTACTTATTAAATTGTTATTTTTCCAAAGGCTTACAAGCCATAATTTGATGAATCAGAAAAAATGGAACCCACAGATGCAGAGCTGCCTGTGTGCACTACAGAAATAAAAATTAGTACCGTTAGCATTTTAGGGTCTGCCAAGGTGACTACTGGGGAAGCTGTAAATATTCTAATTTTTAGAAATAGTGGCACAGCAAAAAAATATCAGTTAGAGACTCTCAGGTGATGAAAAGGGGAAAATTTCTGTTTAAATTATACTTAATAACGACTAGTCAGTATAAAATGACAATGTATCCTACCGTATAACAAAAGGTACATTTCTCAGAAAAATCAGAAGCCAAGGCTTCAGTATCAACTTAGATTATGTTTTAACTTAGATTATTTTTAGTAGAAGAAAAACTAGAGGATGAAAAGTAAGAAAGTAATACCAATTAGGATAGAACACGTGACCCAAAAGCAGACAAAACTAAGCAGGTGATAACAGATATATACATCATGACAGGCGAATGAGGACACTCACGGACCCCAGCTGGTGCTCCACAGTAGAGCTTGCATAATTAAGATATTTCACCAGGATCACTTTCCCACCCTGAAGGATGTGGAAAAGTACCTACAATGAAAACTAAAATGAAAATCATAAATACTACCAACTGTAAGGAGTGCCTTGTAGAAGCCAGCGTCCCTTTTTGCTCACTGCATTTAGATCAGATGTGTGCCTTTCTTTGAAAGGTTTGGAAAGACATTTTCCAGGGAGCTGCATTGTTTTAAGGGTTAAAGATACCTTTAAAGTCAAAGACGTAACCTACGTAAGGCTGCATCCTTCTGCCCTTAAAGCAAATAACATTAATGTGGGAATCTGGTGTCTGAGAGCCAATTAGAGTCCAAAATATACTCTGAGCAGGGACCTCAGGTCGCTCCACTTCCGCCGTGATGAACAGCTACATTTCCTGCCTGCCTGCCCATTCTGTCCTTTCTTGGATTTTTTTCATCATCATCATTTTGGTGACAAATTTGCAGCACCAGCCCAAAGCAAGGCCTTGAATTTGGAGTTAGCACGCTCACACCTCTGTCCCCGGGTAAGTCAGATCTTGTGCTGGCACAGACAATGGTCGCATCTATGGAACAAGGAGGCCGAGTCCTGGGTGCAGGCCCTGCTCAGCAGCCCTGGAGAGTTCCTGGAACCCAGATGGCCCCCGAGGGACACGGGAACGCCACGGCGTGAGGAGCCCTTCCTTGAAGCAGTGCCGCAGGCAATACACTTCACCTGCACCAACGGGGCAGTTATCCCTTGGAAAACAGCAGCCTTCAGAGGAATCAGTGCTACGTCACTCTTCCCCTGTGAGAACACAACTTTCTCCATTTTCATCAAAAACGTTTCCCACCCAAGATGCTGCTGAGCTTGTTTCAGGTGGCGTAGTGAACATAAGTTTTCATGAACAGTCTGGTGACCAGGTTCATTTGTGAATCCAGACTCCTCATGAAAGACCATTTTAATGCTAGAACAGAGTCAGCCCTATAATTCATAGCCAAAGGTCCCCTAAGTGAACACGTTTTTTTTTTTTAATAACCTTGCTCTGCAGTGACACCTTGTGGCACAGAACGATAGCAGCCAAACTCTTCTCTGGGCAAGATTGCTGTTCTGTAACAAGAGACCTGACACAAGTCTCGATGCTTCACAATGTCATCTCCCTTGTTCATCCTGCCAATATTTATGAAATGCCGAGGCTACATCTTTTATATGTGTGAGTGCTTTTAAAATTTGTAAATTAATTGACAGTTTTCATTTGTGATTATATAAATGCTTATTCAAATACAGAATCATTCAGCAGTTTGTCCTTACATGCTAGAATTTTCTAGGTTTTTCTTTTTTCAATAATTTTATTAGGAAACAAATAGCAATGAGACAGTTTCAATTGTGATTAGTAGGACAGACTCAATAATAAATAGATCGCATATTGTTGTCTTAGTGGTTATTCATTGTACAAGATGCAGACATGATATCCTGTCCACGAACACTATTAGAACAAATCTTTCTATTCATTGAATTAAGAGAATGTAGCTGTATTTCTATTGTATTTTGAATATACAGATACAAAATGGTTATTCATTTGTATCCCTTTTTTGCTTAGTTTTGTCAGAGAAGGGTATTCCATTGTCATTTAAATATTATAGGTGCATGAATTGAGCAAAATATTCCAATATGGTCCAGTAGTCCATAATAGTAGTGGGTTTTCTGTAAGACTGGCAATAACAGAAGTTGTTGACTTGAGCCTTTTACAGCTCAGCATATTAGTATGGCTTTACTTTTTATACTTCATTTCTATACTTTTCTGCTGGATGGTTAAGACCAAAATAAAGCAGGACCTATATAACAAGAAATGTAGTTTTATATCTGATAAGGTCAGACAAATCCCCTCAGAATTTATCTGAAACCCTGTACCACACTTTGTAGATCCTTTTTCAGTGTAAGCCATGAGGATGAGTCATGGCCATTGCTTGACCCATTTGCTCTCTGTGAAAGCCTGAGAGAATGTTTTCTCTCCATATGACTCTCCTTAGGCACACTCTACATCATCGATCACTTTCCTCTTTGGCCCCATAATCTCCTTGATCAGAAAATTTGGGACACAACTGAATTACAGGATGTTACAGTACAGGTTCTCCTATGTCCTGAGTCTTCACTGACCTTGAAAGGCTAGGGCCAAAATGTTGGCTGTCCTTGCAGCCCT